AACAGCTTTAGTGAAGGTTACAAATGATCTTCTTATGGCCTCTGACAGTGGACTCATCTCTGTGCTTGTCCTGCTAGACCTCAGTGCAGCGTTTGATACTGTTCACCATAATATTTTATTACAGCAATTAGAGCATGCTAAAGATATTAAAAGTTCTGTACTGCAGGGATTTGGATCATATCTATCTAACAGACTCCAATTTGTTTATGTAAATGGAGAGTCGTTAGTTATGGATGCCACACTTTGTGTACTAACACCGATTCTGTTTACATTATCCATGCTTGCCTTTGGCAGTATCCGTAGTAGTAAGTTAGATAGCACACACCAATTAGATTGCAGGAATTTCTTATAAAAGTAAAGACCTGGATGACCTCTAATTTTCTTTTACTCTACTGTGGCCTAAAAGAATGTTAGAAATATGGTATCTAACCAGATTCTTGCTATGGATGGCATTAAATTACAGGGCACTAGTAGTGGACCTACCATTAACACTGTGAGGAATACTGGAGTCGCTTTTGACCAGGATATGTCCTTCAATGCACATATTAAAAACATTTGTAGGACTGCTTTCTTCGAATTGGGCAATCTCTCTGAAATTAGAAAGATTCTGTCTTAGAGTCACGCTCAAAAGCTAGCTCATGCATTTATTACTTCTAGGCTGGACTACTGTAATTCATTACTATCAGGATGTCCTGAAAACTCCCTGAAAAGCCTTCAGTTAATCCAAAGTGCTGCAGCAAGAGTCCCTGACAGGGACTACATTGGCTTCTCTTCATTGGCTCCCTGTTAAATCCCGAATTGAATTCAAAATCCTGCTCCTCACATACAAGGTCTTGAGGACCCAGGCTCCACAATAGAGCATTTGTTTTCAGACTGCTAGTTTACCTTTGACTACTAGGGTAGTAAAATGGGAGACAGTGCCTTTCACTTTCCAGGCCCCTTTTCTGTGGAACCAGCTTCCAGTTCGGATTTGGGAGAAAGACACCCTCTCTACCATATAGCATATAGTTAAGGCTGAATCAGGTGACTCTGATCCTCACTTAGTTTTACTGCAATAGCCCTGGGCTGCTGGGAGCTTCCCATGATAGAAGTGTTTCTTCTTCCTCACTTTGGCATACACATGGTGCAGCCAGGAATCGAAACACCAATCGTCCGACTAGTAGATTACCCCCTGTACCCAGTACCAAGTTAAATTTTATGTGAGGTAATGGAATTTTAGGTAACAGGTTCACTTTCATAAATACCAAAGCAGATGATAGTGATTAAAAACCCTTGCTGCTATTTAAATGACCAGATCCATTTCCCAGAAGTTTAAGTGACTTGATGCTATACTCTGATTAAAACGTGTTCTTTTGAGCAGTGTATTTTAATCCAAATCCAAATCCAAATCCATTTAAAAACGAAAGGTTTGCCCAAAGTGCTGAACAGAAACAAAAGGGTAAAACACAAGATAAAACCACTGACACTCACATAAAAACATATTAATATACATAATATCGAAAAAAGGTGTGTTTTCAAAAGCAACTTAAAAACAGGAAATGAAGATGCCTGTCTAATATTTAAAGGGAGCGTATTCCAAAGCTTGGGGACCATAATTGAAAAGGCTCGTTTTCCTCTATGTTTTAGCCTAGATTTTGGGACAACCAACAGCAGCTGGTCAGCTGATCTAAGGGATATAAGGCTGAAGCAACTTGGAAAGGTATGGGGGAGCAAGACCATTAAGGCATTTATAAACCAGCGTTAGGACTTTGAAAGTAATCTGTCATGAACAGGAAGTCAATGAAGAGAGGACAGGATAGGTATTACATGTTCATGCCTGTGGGTACCAGTCAAGAGGCGGCATTTTGCAAGCAGCATTTTGAATGAGCTGAAGACGTGCAAGAGACCTTTGGCTGACTCCAACATAAAGTGCATTACAGTAGTCAAGCCATGTTGAAATAAAGGCATGTATTACCTTCTCCATGTCACATTTTGACAAAACTGGCTTCAGCTTTGCTATTTGCCTCAACTGGAAAAAGCTTTGTTGTAACACAGAACTAATATGTTTGTTCAATTTAAAATCTGAGTCCATAATGACTCCCAAATTTGTCACATGCTGTTTGATATAAGACCCTAGCCAACCACAATTTCTAAGCGGGTTGCATGAAATATTATTAGGTCTAAATACAATCACCTCCGTTTTACTCTCATTGCAATTCAAAAAGTTCAGAGCCATCCAAGCTTTGGCATCTTCAAGGCCGTTCAAAAGGATTTGGATGGAGCTTGGGCCATTTGGTGCTAAAGGCAAATAAATTTGGCTGTTGCCTGCCTAGCAGTGAAAGGATATTTTGTGTTTTCTAAAAATAGACCCCAAAGGGACCAGGTATAATGAAAAAAGAAGAGGGCCAAGGATTGAGCCCTGAGGCACTCTACAAGGAAGGGGGGCTGAGGTGGACTCAAAATTTTCAACTTTAACACTAAACGTTCTGCCACTCAAATATGAACGAAGCCAATCCAGTGCTGCACCTTTGATGCCAACCAGGTGTTCCAAACGAGAGGTAAGAATATTGTGGTCAAGAGTATCAAACGCTGCAGTAAGATCTAAAAGCACAAGGATCACAGGACTTCCACAATCACAACCACTAAAAAGATTAGTCTTAGTAACAAGTGTCAGCCTTCCAGTCTGGCTCTGTTGCGCTGACGCAGTGATGAAAAAAAGGCCGTGAATCTAATATGACTTGGATTTTTTTTACCTTAATATGAAAACACGGCATCTAATTGAAAACATTAAAATGTTTCTTTTTTTTCAATATGGTGCCAATAAAATGTCTAAATTAAGACTGTTATAATATAAATAAATGTAATCATGCTTCTATTGTCAAACTTGAAACAACAGGGAAATTGCAGAAGAATATTTTTACATTTTTTATTCTCTTTGGATTATATTTTCATCATGGAATTTATTTTATTTATTATTCGCCACTAGGGATGGGATTTCATGATTGATTTCACTTATCGATTCGATTCCCGTATCCATTCTCATTTTCAGAGTCACCAACATCACTAAGCACCATGTCAAAGACATTACTTTCATGCAAATTAATTACATCCGCTGGGTCAAATATTTGTGGATGTTGGAGGTATTTCCACTCTTTGTTACGATCAGGGGTCATTACTCAACAGGAGGAGGAAGTACTTTGTTACACTATTTGTTACATTATAACTGCATTTCTCGGTCAAATGAACAAAAACATATTGTCTCATAATTACCATTTGCCAATATAAACCTGAATTTACAGTCCCACACATCAACACAAATCCCTGCCCTAATGAGGACACATATAATATTTCTCTTAGTATTTA